GGATGGTTTTTACAAAAAATTAATAAATAATATTCCAACGCTCCATATTTACCAGAGATAATCCTAATACTTTGGTTGCCAGCAAATCATTGGCCCAATTTGGTTCCTATTTTGGCCAGGGCTGAGTGCTCAAGCAAGTTCAAAACTTGTTGAAACATGCATTGTGAGTTTATAAGGTTGTCACTGTTTGAGCCTCAGGCTCTTCCTTAGGGCTTCTAGATGTGAAAATCTCTGAAGGTTGGGTAGAGGCAGTTTAGCACCCATGCAGGCTCATGAGCACCAAAAGCATCAGGCAGAGCAGAGTAGTTTCTCAGGCATATTCAGAACTGTTGACAAACTATTGCAAAGCAATTATTTTTCGTAGCACTTTCCCCAGCTTGATGTTTTCCTTCATGAAGATGTTGGGGAACTGTAGTTCAACTCATTTAGGAGGCATTAGACTGTAAAGTGCCATTGCAGATCTTTCACCCAAGGAACAAACACCTCCTTGACTTTTTCGATCAGCAGAAGACAGGGGATTCAAGGACAGATTGTGGGAACTGGACCCACCTCTCCCAAAATACAGCATTCCAAGGTGGTTACCTCATACTCTGCATCCGAACTAGAAAAGATGAAGGGTCATAATTCTTGGCTGAAATATCACAGCGGACAAGAACCAAGATAGACTAAGAGTCTGGCTTGGTGGAAAACATGGTTGAATGGGCAGGGCCTGAGAAAGAGAGATGCAGTTTAATAAGTCCAATCGTCTGATGCCAGCTGAAGTGAACTAGCCAACTGAGTGATGCCTGGTAATCCCACTGTCTGGCTTACAAGAGGTAGGAAAAGATGGCACAAACTGCTCAGTTGGGAAGGCAGAAGAGGGATTAAGTTTGGCATCAGCTTCTTGACTTGAACGGTGCTTTCTCTCATTAAGCTGTTCCATTAACTAGATGGATTGTCTTTCGCCAATGACTTTGACTGGTTGACCCACTTTGCCATAATCATAGAATCATTGGCTCTGTAGTTGGAAGACTTTCAACTTGATTTGCTTGGAAGGGCAAAGATGGGGGCAGGGAGACAAAGCTGCTCCCAGTTTTCATTGGTATGGCCCTGAGTGGTAGAGTACCCAGCAATGTAGAATAATGGTAGAGAAGGCTTCAAGTAGTGTCACAGTTTAACCCTATACATATTTACTTAAAAGCTGGTTCCTCCATCTTCAATGAGCCCTAGCCATAAGGATGTATAGATTGTAAATTGAAAGAATTTGATGCCTTCCTGCAAAATTAGATTAGATCAAGATAAACTGCGGAGGAAGGGCTCAGCAGTTATAGGCAACCTATAAATATGGGTATAAATTAGTAAATAAACAAGGTTGCTTTAACTATGGAAGTGAAGAAGCACATAACCAAATGGCAATCAGGTGGGTCAGGAAAAATGGCCATGTTATCTCTGAATTTGTTCCCCACGTGAAGCAGCCATTACCACACCCTGCAGATCACTCAACTCAATCTGAGTTGTCATGATACTGTGCCTATCCAAGCATCAATCTGTGATGTTAACAAATCTCTCTATTCCCACACAGATGTACAAACACACACACGTACGCAGGTGGAATGAAACAGTCGTTTAATGACAAATGAAGTCGTTTAGTGTCCGATAGTGGTCTCTGCATAGAATATCATTCTTCTTTTGAAGATAAACTGATTGTTGTTGTTGTAATTGAAAAGGCAGAACATATTTGTAGATTTTCTTTATTTATAAAAATTCTATTCCACCTGTTAGCCAAAATGGCTATGTGGGCAGGATACAAAAATAATAATAATATAATAACAAAATAAGCACACTAAACAATACTATTAAATTAAATATATAAACTATAACAGTAGAACAATAAAAACACAGAAAAAAACCCACAATAAAGTCACACAGTAACCTCAATTAATTTAAAAGCAAAAGCACAGTGGCATTAAAACAAATAAATGCAATATAAAATCATATTAAAATTACATCAACTATTAAAGTATTGGGTAAATGAAAAGGGCTTCCCTTGGTGATGAAAAGAATATAGGGAAGGCATCAGGAACCTCATTTGGGAACTGGTTCCAAATGTGAGGTGCCACTACCAAAAAGGCCCTTCTCCTTGTAGCCACTCTCCTAATTTCCTTCAGAGGGGGCTCTCTGAGAAGAATCTTAGATGATGATTTTAGGGTCCAGGAAGGGACATGTACTAAGAGGTGCTCCTTTAGATTTCCTGGCCCCAAGCTTTTCAAGGCTTTCAGTATTAATGCTAATGCTTTGAATTGGCCTTGATTACAACTAGTAGCCAGTGAAGCTGAAAGCTGGCATTCTATGTTCATATCAACCAGTCCTTGTCAACAGCCTCTCCATCCTCTTCCGGACCAACTGAAGTTTCCAGACCATCTTCAAAGGGAGCCCCACATAAAGAACATTACAATAATCCAGGTGAAAGGCTACCAGAGCATGAATTATTGTTCAGTAACTAAGGGGCAGGGAGACTTTAGAATAAATAAGCTAGTAGTAAGGAAAAATGTTGAAGGTAAGGGCGGTCAGTAATTCTGATCTTAGACCTTATTTTATTTGTAAGGGAATATTTCTGATCTTACACATTCTTCTTCTGTAAGGGAATTTCCCTTTCCTAATCCATATCATCACAAGCATTACACCCACTGGCAAATATTTAAATTATTCCACCATTTACGTCATGCGCTAATTTAGGCTGTTATTCAAGGTAACACCTTAACTACAGACTGCACAAATTGTAATGGAAATCTCCACCTCAATAGAATATTATAGCCCATAAAATCTCCTAATGGTTAATTCACAAACCAGTTAAATCAAAATATATCCCTTCTAACATAAATTTATGATGTGCCCAATTTTCGAGAACAAGCTTAAACAATTATTGCTGGGAGAGAAATCAAACACAAGTAAATCCATTCCCTGAACCCTAAATGACCTAATGCAAGCGTTGTTTGATGCTTGTGCAAAGAGCACTTCTGTGCAAGAATCAGCATGCAATCCATGTGCAGCTTGTCACATACCAACATCTGTATGTTTTGTTTTATGTGTATATGTAACTCAAGGGGCAAGTTGCACACCAGGTCTTTCCATGCAGCATTTCTGTAAAGGTGGCCACAAACCAGATTAGATGCTTATGTGCACTTCCCAGAGACTCACCCCATTGAACATGGTGGGACTTGCTTCTAAGGATTGCACTGTAAATCTGACTGCTCCGACTTAATTAGTATGGACTATTTATGCAGTCCAGTAGCTGCAAGCTCACCAGAAGATAGCAAGTGAAACTTCTCACATCATATAATGCTATCCAGCTACATACATCTGCCAGCCGATCACAGATTGCTTGGCACAGCAATTTCCCCCTTTCCCCTGCACACACACCCCAACTCTGTGCCAGCATCCTGGGAGATCCTCTGGAGGAAATTTGAAGGAGATTCAGGGGAGGGGGGAAGTGTTGCAAGAGAAAAGTGAGAAAGGGAAAATCAAATTTTCTGATAATGTCAACACAGCTAGTTGCTCATAAAAGGTGTGACTGACATGACAGGACCTTTTTCCAAATGTTAAAAGACTGCAGGTAATCAACCTGTAAGCCTCTGTTCCAACTCACAACCACTATGAGATGATTCAAAGGCCAGAATAACTTTTATTCATGAGAGCTAGCACCTTGAAAGCTTCAAACCAGTACCTGGCAGTCAGGAAAAGTAATAGGAACAATAAGCACACTTCCTGCTCCAAACATTCAGAACAGTGTGAAATCAGAATGTTTGACAGGCTGAAGCAGGGCTGCTGTACTTCCTAAGGTCCAAGAGCCACATTAATTCTTGGACAGACAGGGAGAGGTAGAAAAAGACTGCCACGAGGCCTGCTCCTCTCCTTTCAGGACCATTACCACCAGCTTCCATGTGGGAAATACCCCAGTTATGTTTTAAATATAATTGAGTTTGATTTTCTTCCTTTCTTGCTTGTAAGCTGCCTTGGAAAGATTTGTATCCTGAAAGGAGAGACATGAACCACTGAAAAGAATGGATGTGTGGGGGGAAGGTTAGTGCCCCGGGGCTATCGACAGGGGCTCCAGCAGAAGCCAGAAGACGGGAAACAAGCCAGTATTGGCAGGGAAAAGCCTCTGAATCAGCTTTATACCTGATGATCAGGCACCCCAGCATTGCCTACCCAGCCTGGGAGTGCCTCTCCACAGTTTCTGGCAGGAGCCTTCCGAAGTACATCTACAGCTCATGGGACGCATTGCGAGGGAGAACAGAGGCTCGGTGGCAGAGTGCATGTTTTGCATGCAGAAGGGTCTCCCTGGTCCAATTTTATGGACTGGGAAGGAATTCTCCCTGAAACCCTGGAGAGTAGCTGCCAGTCTGTGGTGACAATGCTGGACCAGATGGACCAGTGCCCTTCCTCAGTTTAAGGCACCTTCATATGGTTCTCTGTCTTCCCCAGTTCTACTTGGTGACCCTAGATAATCAGCCTCTGGATTGTGTGAACCACCCAGAGATCTTTGGCTGCTGGGCAATATGGAAATGCAGTGTAATAACAACAACAGCCTGTGCCTTTCTGCATGCAAGTTGTGTGTTCTACCACTGCACTTAAAATCTGAGCACACTCTCTCATCCGCTGTCTCAGCCTAAGAGATGATCTCAGAAAAGAACGGCCATCTTCTTTTCTAGCAGGCACTCCCTGCCTTTGTTCATCAGCTGCTGTTTCTCTGTATACTTGCTGTTTAAATACTTCATTGTCAGAGGGCCATGTTTCAGCCCCTAACAGAAGAAAAGAAGTAGCCAATCCTAATGGTATAAAAGAGTTTTCCTTTATTTTTGTGTATCCCCAATCAAAGCAGAAGAACCAGAAATGTCTAATTAAAAGTATTATCTGTCAGACTAATTACTTCAGAAGCGATTTGCCAGTTACTGAAAGGACAGTTTCTCTACTTCTCTGAGGGAAACTTCAGAACATATTTCCCTGCATGAAGCCCTTACCTTTGCGAAGCGCATGTGCGATGGCCAAGGTCCAACACATCCATAATATTTTTTTAAACATCTTGACCTACAAGCAATGCAAACACAAAATAGATTAAGTGTTGTTGTTACTCGTTGTAGGAATTATATAAATTTATAAAATTACGCATTTTCTTGACTTCATTCTAGCCTTGTAGACCAAGGTTTTAGTGTCCACAGGTCAAAATTTCACTCATGGTCTTCATGAAATATGTTCCTTGACTTTTTTCTTGATCATGACCTATGTTATCAAGCATTTTAAAAGTAGGCCAGAAACAGTGAGGGTTCAATCCTATAGCTGCTACATTGAGTTTAGACGGCCTTGGGCAAATTTGGGACCCAACTCCTTGGAACCTTGGAAATACACTTCCAAATGCTGTCACTCCACCCTTGCCACTGTCTCAGAAAGAACCACACTGGCTGTGCCTACAAGGTTGGAAGACAAGGAAGGAAGGCTTCTGCAGGATAGAAGTTATCCTGGCAGTATCTTAGCTTGACCTCCTTGTGAGCACTTGCAAAAAAAAAAAAAAAAAGGTATCCCAGATCAGAAGTTTAAGCCTTTTGCAGGACTGGAGAAGCACAGATGTATCCTTCACCTCCATGTTTCTCTTGTCCTTGATAGGAGACCTGAAGGACTGAAAGGTTACAGGCAGCCATGCTGGATGCTGCTGTTCATCAACGAATCAGTAAACACAATCAATTCAGCAACTTTCAATTAACTAAAAGGCTGTCCCCAGTCAAAAGATCTATCTACTTGTCTACTCCCATCAGCCCCAGCCAGTATAGCCACAAGTAAGGGATTATGGCAGTTGGACCTCAAAAGTTCCAGAGGACCACAAATTGGAGAAGCCTGAGTTAAGTAACTCCAGGATCCCAAGACTTCTGCATGGTAGGATATAACTACCATGATTCTCATATAGTAGTATACAGATACTCTAGGATTCCAGTTGTGACTAACCATCTTCAGTTGTACTCATGTGTTTGTGCTTGTTTTCACTCAGCTGCCTGCATCTTTTCCTTCAATACATTAAAAATTTTATCTTACAAGGTGTACCAGGTTCGGATCTTAAAGTAACCTTACACCAATTCTCCAATTACCCACAGCTTCCTATTATATTAACTGTTTCCAAACAAATTGTTTTATTATTTATACAGTGAATGCTAAAGAAAATATCATTCTTAGCAATATTTCTAGATGGGAATTTATTTATTTATTTTTTATTTTATATTGAGATTTATATTCTGCCTTTTTCCTACAAAGGGCTCAAGGCAGCTTACATCATTCTCCTCCTCCAACTTATCCCCACAACAGCAACCCTGTGAGGTAGGTTGGGCTGAGAGTCTGTGACGGGCCCAAAGTCACCCAGTTGGCTCCATGGCCGAGGGGGGACTCAAACCCAGATCCTCTGAGTCCCAGTCCCATGCTCTTAGTCCATAGATATTTTGATAGCTGTTGACTATAAGCTTCTCCTTCCAAAATTAACTTTTCGGGTTTTTTCCTTTCAGGAATAATATGAAAATGTATACAGAAATTGAAACTTTATGCAAGTGTTTGTCATTATAAACTCTTCTAACTGCTGATCTTAGTCATTTTCATAAGCAGTGGATATTGTAAGACAAGGGCTACAAGCCAGTCCGCGGTAATGCATTCTTAGATTCCATTAGCCAATGTGAAGAAAGTGTGGTTAACTTGGCTGGACTGCAACCATCATTGGTGTACTTAATATGATGTGTGCTTATTCTCTTGAAAGAATGTGCACTATGCAAATACTTTAGCGATGTTAGCAATGCCAATTGATTAGCCAACTATGATCCTTAGTTGACTAAGTGTGAAGAGCATTAAGAGAGAAATAACCCCCAATTAATAAACAATAGCTAGTCACCATCTGGTTCTGGGATTTTTTAATCTTTTCTTTCCAGAAATTGTTTTCAAAATCTTGGTTTATAAAATCCAGCTATTAATGTTAGGTGGAATGCACAATGTTCAGTCCATGTACAGTTTATGCAAATTTTAAGCATAGCAGTAGTTCATTTGAAAACTGCAATTGAAAACAGACTTTTCAATCCAATCCCATGTAAAAGTACATCCCACTGAGTTTAATGAGATTTTTTTTCCAAATAAGGAGGCACCAAATTGCAGCCATGCAGTGCAAGCTTATGTATGTTTATTTGAAAGTATCCCTCTAACAGTGAAGTCCTATCTAGATCAACTCAAAAAGTAAGCCCCACAGAATTCAAGTTTTGTTTACCATTAAGTGAAATTACAGCCTATATTCAGTGCATCTCAGGTGACTTCCAGGTGAGACTTTTATCCCACAATTGTGCTGCTTCTTTCATAGAATGTAACGGTGTGGGAGAGTCATCATTCACTCCCAGCCCTCCTGTGTTTTCTCACCACTTCTTCCATCTTTTTCCTTACCACAGAAAATCCATTAAGGGGAAAAACCAAAATTGCTGCAAAATGCCTTCTGACTGTTAGCAGTAGGAGTCCCTCAGGCTGGAGGCAGCCTTACTCTCACTTAAGCATGGATAGGATTGTAGTGTTAGTTTCAAATCTACAGCTGAGTTCCAATTATCCCATGCATTATCCAATGTTACACAGATTAGAAAGTTACTGGAATTCTGTATGGGTACACCCCAGTTCAAACATCATAATAGGCAGTCTGAGATGCTTTTCAAATCAGGAGAATGGTTCAAAAAGGAAACACATAACATCTCAGATTAGTCATTTTTGATGTGATTGCCTTGAAAATTATACTTGTGTCATAGTATTCATTTAAAGGAGCCTGGAGTCCTGGAGTACTAATGGGCACAGTCAGCATTTCCCTATACACAAGTTGACCTGATCTTTCAGTGGAACGTTGTCACTGACTTCGAGGCATTAGATGGCATCCAGAATTACATTTTATCTCTTTTTTCCAGCATGCAGAAAACAGAGAAGCAAATTGCAAAAGCCCTGCACGAACTGCAAACTTGTAATTAAAATGTGCTGACAAACACACCATCATATGTAAATTAATGCTTATACTGATTTTTGAACAGTACTATCAGACAATGGGATCTTCAGAGAAGGATGAATTGCAAAGCCCTCACCATATATGCTGACTATGTATGGCATTTACTCTACATGCTCGCTATGGGTAATTACATGTACATGGTAGTCATTTGCCATTGGTTGTAACTACAGCTATTATATGATTAAAGAAATCATAGGGATATATCCTACATATGCTTAGACATTAAAACATCCTATGAGTCCTAGCATTCCCTTACCGATCTTGCTTCCTGGGGAAAACTCGGAGTTGTAGGACTTTTTTCTGTCTAAGCATTCATATAGTTGCATCCCTAATTGACTAATCATATGAATTTCAGTGGATTACAGTTACATACTTTTATATATGGGTAAACAAATATTTCTTAAGGAACAAGCCTTGCTTTTAGGCAGCATGCCCATACATTGCCATGCCTGATTAAATTGTGGCATCCCTTTCACTGATTAAGAGATTGGAATGGATACACCTAGCCATCAAGGGGTGACCGTTTGGTACTCTTGGTGCTACCTCCTGGCTCATGACATAGCAAACCACGGCAAGCAGGAGGGGTGAGGCATGGCACAACAGACCCTGGGGCTAAACTAAGTCACAGGTGCATGAGCATGCATGTGCCACCTTCCAGGACAGTCCCCCAGGTGTGGCATTAGGCCTCGCATTATTCTGTTGGAGCCCAGAATCCCCAGGAGGCCTGTACCACCATCCTGCTTTCCATGGGCACTGCATAAAACGAAGGGAGAGGGGCCGGGAAGCCCTGGATTGCACCGTTCTTGATCCACTTCTGCTCCACTTCTTGCATCCTTCTGCCACGGGATGCCCTCTTCTCCCCTATCCATGCATCCCCTTTTACGAAGAGCAGTGTCCTTAGGATACAGGATCCTTTAAACGTTTTTTCTCACTCACACAAATAGAGAGGGAGGGAGAGACTTTAGAACATACATAAATTAATACATGCAAATTTGTGCTGTGGAAGTGTGTGTGTGTGTGTGTGTGTGTGTGTGAGAGAGAGAGAGAGAGAGAGAGAGAGAGAGGAGGGCCTGAGCCCCTGGTTCATAGCACATTCCTACTCAGCCAACCACAAACAACTACCCACATAAACTCCTCCTATATGTAGTCCCCATGCCTGGTCTGCACAGGGTTACCTGCCTTGTGCCTTCCCCTCTGGGCCTTGGCTAGCTACCTTTCTGTCTCTGATCCTGATCTGTCTTACCATCATTTCCTAGTTTGCTAGTCTGCAAGAAGTGCACATTTGTCTGAAAGCCTGACAATACAAACACAGCTACAGCCAGTTTTCAGGAGAGATTTCTGATACCAAACACTAAACAAACACCAGGACCATTGTTGTAAAACCACAGCTTTTACATCCCCCACACTGGTGCCCTTCATAATTCAGGAAGCTGTGGATGATGGGAGCTATAGTCTCACAAACCTGACACCCCAAAAAATGCTGGATAAGCTATAAAGAGCTTTAAAAACAGAAGAATGAATAAAAAAGACCCATTTCTTTATCTGGATTGAAGCTCAGTCATGATGAAAGCAGCCAGGTATCATTTTGGCAGAGGAATGCAGGCAAAATGTTTCAGAAAGCACTGCATTTGCACTCATTGCAAGACTAGACTTCTAGTAGAACATGATTAGAAATATAGTGGTGATTATTCTAAGGAAAGATTTCAAACCTGATTCCATTTTTTTTAAACGATCTCCTAATTGCCTTTTCTTAACCCTTTGTTGTTTCCAAAGTTAAGCAAAGTAATTGTCTTTTCTTCAGACTCCTGTGAGTCAATCCAAATGCATTTCCTGCTGGAACAAGTCTTTGGATGTCTTCCTAAATTCTGCATTGACACTCGGCTTATTCAGATGGTCTGGAGTGCTATATAACCCTCAGGAGAGATGAGTGCTTATTTTTCACCTTTTGCTGTATTTGCCCCAAGTGACAGCTCCTTCTCAGACAGAAACGACTGTGTATGATAGTCAGGTACACAACCTTGATGATTTTTTA